CCAAGTCAGAGCGAGCCCACGTGACTATTTCTGGCCAATGAGAGAGAACAGAAGTGACACATGCTATCTCCAGGTTGAGGCTAAAGAACTCTTAGAACTCAATAATGAAAATATAAACAATTGAATTTAAAAATGGGCAAAAGGATCGAACAGACATTTTTCCAAAGAACTTACACAACAGGTCAAAAAGCTTATAAAAAGATAGGACCAGCAGGTGACGTGATGGTTAAGGTGTTGGACTCCCTCAGAGCCAACCATGGTTCAAGTCCCAGACCTGATGGCTTGCTTTCTCACTTTCTCTCTTTTCTCCTCTCTCTCTGATGAACACACATGCCCTGTAGCAAATTTAATAAATAATAATCATGATAAATAAAATAAAATAAATAATTTTATGAAAAGATGCTTAACACCGTTAGCCTTCACAAAAATACAAATCAAAACCACAATGAGGGACCAGCAGTTGGCGTAATGGCTACATCACTGGACTCCCATGTAGTCAACCACAGTTCGCGTCCCGGACCCAGTGGCTTAAACTCACGCCGGGCACATGTGCATGCGTGCCCAAGATCCCGAGAGGAGAGTGGAGGAGAAGGGATTGCGGCGTGGCCATCCCCCCTGGGGAGTGATTTCTCGCTTTCTGTCTCTCTGTCTCTCTCTGTCTTTCTGGCAAGTACATGCACCTATGGCAAAAACCTCCCCCCCCCCAAAAAAAACACAATGAGATAACCCTTTATACACACTAGGATGCCAAAATTTTTAAAAATAATAGTAAGTATTGGAAAGGAGGATGCATTGTTGATGGGAATGGGGAACGGTACAGCTGCTTTGGAAATGAGTTTGGCGGTTCTTTGAAATGTTAGACAGAATGACCACATGACCCAGCAATTATACCCCTAGGCGCATGCCCAGGAGAACTGAACATATCTGTCCACGCAAAAACACACTATACACAGTGTTTGCAGCAGATTTTTCACAAGAACCAAAACCCGGAAACAGCCTAAATGTCCATTGGTGGATAAATAGATAAGCAAATTGTGGTTTTTCTGTACCATGGGATATTTTCCATAAATAACAGGCACTGATTCATGCTACCGGGTGCATGAACCTCAAAAACATGATGCTGAGTAAAAGAAGCCAGACACAGATGGCCCCAAACTATATATAATTCCATTTACACCCAATGTCCCGAGTAGACAAATTGATTAAGATATAAAGTTGGGACCAGCAGGTGGCACAGTGGCTAAGGTGTTGGACTCCCACGTGGTCCGCCATTATTTGAGTCTCAGACCCCGTGGCTTGAAACTCACACTGGGCATGAGTGCCTAAGTGTTCAAAATCCAGAGAGAAGAATGAAGAAGGACTGTGGCTGGGGGGGGGGGATTTCTCACTTTTTGCCTCTCAGGCAAGTACATATGCCCAACAGCAAAAATCTAAAACCAGGGAAAGATACAAAGCAGATTAGTGGTTGCCTAGGGCCGAAGGAGTGCCAAGGGGAAGTTGGGGGAAATGGAGAGGCCTACGGTCCATTCC